TCTTTGGAGGAAGCCATGGCTTTTTAAAGTGGTATCATGGCGGTTTAAATGCATGGTCTGGATGTGGCCGTTGTCACCCCACATTTGACACCCCGAGAGCTTGAGAGGTCCTGGAGCCTGTCCCCTTCCATCTCAGCAACTCCCTTGGGTTTGGACTCCTTCTTGAGTGTCTGCTTGTGAGGCAAACTCCCTTGCGCTGCATTTCTGCTGTGTAACCCTTGGCCATTTCCCGGCTTAGCAAAGGCAATGGGCAAAGTCTCTGCCTTGCACATCACACATCAGTCAGTTCAGCTCCTTGCTGACAGAAGCTGAGCTCTCTCTTCACTCCCCCTCGCCAAGGGAGTCATTTATGCACCATCTCTGTTGGAGGCAGGATGCAGAGCTCAGCAATATGAGACTGGACTGTGCCTATGAGCGTGTGCAGAGTGCCTCTCCCTCCCCACCAAGCAAAAACAGCCAACCCGCAACTGGCAGGATAAGGGTTTCGGACTTCCAGGCATCTCTCTTGGTTTAGAAGAAACCACTTTATGGCACTGCTCTCTGGCCTGTCTGCAATGTGTTATCTTGAGGTCACAGTCCAAGGTGAGGCAGATTTGATGTGCAGGATGGAGGGGCAGAGCTCAACCAGGGATGGCAACAGGCAAGAGGTCCAAAGATGAGCTCATTCATTCCTTAAGGCCGCTCCGTTGTGTAATGCAAGATGGTTCAAGGTTTCCCAGATGCCCATTCTTACCAATGGCCGTCACTCATTCCAGTGCATCCCTCATAAGCAGAGTACTATGGAGGCCTCGTAACAAAATTTTTGGAAGGAGAAAAAGGCTGGCCAGCTCAGCCCCCTGCTGGTGAGCTCAGGCAACCACCCACCACCCTCCATAATCCAGACCACAGCAAATCACAAGGAGGTAAGAAGTGCCTGCAGGACAAAGAGGCGGCTCTGCCAAGTGAGCCAAGCCACAGGCTCCAGGAAAAGAGCATGCACCCGAAGCAGCAACAAGAGTCCATTTAGCCTGCAAGAAAACCATCTATACTGATTCAAGTCTTCCTGCGCTTCTATTCTTAGCCAAAATTGCACCATGCATTCACAAGAGACAGAAGGACTGGCAGACTCAGGTTAAGTCCGGGGTAAGCAGTAGTACAAAAAATCAGCAGATAAATACTGGAGGTGGGGGAATGGCCCCGAAAGTCCAAAGGCATGGAACATGGGAGACTGAAACCCTCTTCAGGAATTACGAAGGAGGGACAATAAACTGTTGTACGGGTTTGAGCTCTTTCCCATTCTGAAGGCTCCCTGGTTCAGACAGTTACCTTCCGGGAGCTGGAAGGTGATGGGGCAGGAACAGGGGGTCAGAGATAAATAGATAGATGAAAGAACCACCTCATTGCCTGGCTAGGTCACTTAGGAACATAGGAAGCTGCCATTTAGCTCACCACTGTCTACAATAGGCACACAGTGGGCAAGTATCTCAGATCCAGGCCAACAGACTGTCCAGACTCGAGCGGGAAGCTGGCAAAGCTGTCATGAGCTCCACTGTGCAGTGCAAGTTCCGCCAGGCAGGAATTGGATCCAAAGACCCAATTTCACTTTATTTCTTCAAAATGTTAACAATTTTTTTAAAAAACCCAAGCATATAGAAGGAGAAGCCTTACTGATGCAGAGACAGCATGGCTTCTGCAAGGACAAGTCCTGTCTCATGAATCTATTAGAGTTCTTAGAAAGTGCCAAGAGGTATATAAGTAGAGGTGATTTGGCTGACACAGTCCGGTTGACAAAGAATACAGTGTTAAATATTAAAATCTTCCCCGAACAGGGCTGCCTTCAGATGTCTTTTAAAGATAGGATAGCTGCTTATTTCCTTCACATCTGAAGGGAGGGTGTTCCACAGGGTGGGCGCCACTACCGAGAAGGCCCTCTGTCTGGTTCCCTGTAACCTCACTTCTCACAATGAGGGAACCGTCAGAAGGCCCTTGGCGCTGGATTTCAGTGTCCGGGCTGAACGATGGGGGTGGAGACACTCATTCAGGTATACAGGACCTCAGAGTAGTGAGGTAGTCAAGTTTGCTGATTATACTAAATTGTTCAGGGTTGTTAAAAGAAAAAGAGACTGTGAAGAGCTCCTAAAGGATCTCTCCAAACCGAGTGAAATGGCGAATGCAATTCAATGTAAACAAGTGTAAAGTGATGCATGCTGCAGCAAAAAATTCTTAATTTCACATATATGTTTGTGGGGCAAATGCACATATATGCACTAGTGGTGATTGGCCAGGAACAAGATCTTTTTATATATATATAAAATTTTTATTAAGATTTTTACATTACAAAATAGAAAAAGAAAAAAGAAAAAGTACAAAATAAAAATAGTTAAAAACAATCAATCTTTTCGTCACATTATTTTTCATTTACTTGTTTCTCGGACCTCCTCGGACCTCCCTTTTTTGTATTCCAATTCAATTTATTAGCTCAGCAATTTCTTTCCCTCTTTATTCTACCCAGATCTTTAATCTTAAATTATTATAACCTTGAATTTTTACTTATAAAAAACCATTTTTTCATATTCTTTTATACCATTACAGCTAGAAACCACTTAATTTCAATCCAACATCATTCTAACATTCATTAATTTTACAATGTCTCTGTAGATAGTCTTTAAATTTCTTCCAGTCTTCTTCCACTGACTCTTCTCCCTGGTCTCAGATCCTGCCAGTCATTTCCGCCAATTCCATGTAATCCATCACCTTCATCTGGCCAGGAACAAGATCTTGGGGGTTATAGTAGATGGCTTGATGAAGATGTTGACCCAGTGTGTGGCAGCTGTAAAAAAAACCCCACAAATTCAATGCGAAGGATCATTAGGAAGAAATTTAACATAAAATTGCTGATATAATGCAGCTATACAAATCTATGGGTGACCACATTTGGGATGTTGTGTGCAGTTCTGGTTGCCTCAACTCAAAAAGAATATTTTAGAGTAGAAAAAGGTTTGGAAAAGGAGAGAGCAAAATGATCAAGGGGATGGAGCGACTGCCCAATGAGGAATGGTTGCAGCGTTTCAGATTCTTTAGTTTAGAAAAAAAGGGGAGTAAGATGCAACATAAGAGAAAGTAGAGAAAGTGGAAGAAGAAAAGTTCTTCTCCATTTCTCACAACACTGGAACTCATGGAAATCTGACATAGCTGAATGTTGGAAGATTCAGGGCAGAGAAAAGGAAGTGCTTCATGCAGAACTGTGGAACTCTCTGCCACAGGAGGCAAAGATGGCCACCAACTTGGATGGCATAATAATAATAATAATAATAATAATAATAATAATAATAATAATTTATTATTTATACCCCACCCATCTGGCTCGGATTCCCCAGACACTCTGGGCGGCTTCCAACAGAATATTAAAATACAGTGGTACCTCAGGTTACATACGCTTCAGGTTACATACGCTTCAGGTTACAGACTCTGCTAACCCAGAAATAGTGCTTCAGGTTAAGAACTTTGCTTCAGGTTGAGAACAGAAATCGCACAACGGTGGCGCGGCGGCAGCAGGAGGCCCCATTACCTAAAGTGGTGCTTCAGGTTAAGAACGGACCTCCGGAACGAATTAAGTACTTAACCCGAGGTACCACTGTACATTAAAAGAGGATTAGACAAATTCATAGAGGAAGTTGTCAATTGCTACAACCCACAATGGCTATGTTTTACCTCCACAGACGGAGACAGCAGTAATTCTGAATACCAGTTGCTGGAAACCACAGAAATGGAAAGTGCTTTTCTGGTTGAATCCTGCCTTGTGAGTTTCCCACAGGCATCCGGTTGGCCCTGTGAGAACAGGATGCTCCACTAGACAAGCCATTGGCCTGATCCAGCAACAGGCTCTTCTTATGTTCTAAACAATTGTTAAGACAACAGATTTGTGGGACATCTGCAGAGCAAGCTGAAGCCAGGTTGTTTTTGCCTCCTGCAATCTTGTTGACAATGCAGTATTCCAAACTGCAAACACTGCCCGTGTTGACAGGCAGCTTGGAATGAGTTTTCCATGTGCCCCAAATATTATATATATATATTTTTTATTGGTTTTAAAATACAAAATTATAAAACATACCACACAAATTATCACAAATAATTCTTATTGGACTTCCATCAGCACCTCTGATAATCCTCCATCTTATTCACTTCTTACGCATTTCCTAACTTAATATTGCCTTTACATTTTTAACATATCCCATCTCCTCCTTCATTTTTGCAATATTTCTGATATTATTCCTCATAGAGCTTCTTGCAAACCTACAAACATCGTCTGGTCATCGCAAATACTTTTCAAATAATCCGTAAATTTACTCCAGTCCTCGGTAAACTTCTGGTCCCGCCGGTTTCGGATCCTTCCCATTAGCTTATCAAGTTCCGCATATTCCATTAATTTCACCCTCCATTCTTCCATCGTGACCCAAATAGGCAAGGATATGTACAAACATTGCTAGAGCAAGAGAGGCATCCATTCCTGCTCCCCAAAACAATGAGCAGGGTGGTGGTTGTGGTGCACAGGAGATATATTTTATTCAGGGTCAACAATGAGCCAATGCAATGTGCAAGCTTTTGAGCTGCACTGAACTCTTCCTCAAGAAGAATACTGGTGAAAAGCAAAAAAGGAAACTCACCAGTGCCAGACTCAGCAGCACAGAGCGCCAACCTGGGCACACAGTTTCTTCCTGACTCTTACGCAACAAAGATGACGGAAGCATCTTTCTTCAACAAAGGGGAAGAGTACCTGCCATACGTGGGCAATGGGTAAGGCTAGAGTGCTACCCCTGGGAAGAAGAGCCATCTGCTAGCCCATAAGAAAGACCAGTGCCAAAGTCAGAGAGGGCCAGGCAGGGGCTGCCCACAAAGCAATGCAGGAACCTTGGTAGCAGAGACAGGATTTCTCCACCTCCAGCACAGGCTTCAGCTGAGCAAACATGGCGACAGGAGGGGGGGGAGTCAGCAAGAGATGGTCCCCCTCCCCTCAGGTCTCCTGGTTGACCTTTGGTCCAATAGCCCCTACAGCCTGGGGGTTTATAAATGAGAAGCTGCCCAGGCAGGCGCCAGACAGCAACTCCTGAGAAGAAGGAACAGGTAAGAGTGGGAGAGACTGGGTTGAGCAAAGGGGACAGGAAGGGAGACTGTTTAGTCACAAGTTGCTTTGGAGCACTTGACTTCTTCCAGGCCAATTTGTGCATTTAAAAAGGCACATTCCCCGAAGGAGGACCTGCTCACCCCTACCTTTTGCCAACAGGGGAGCCAGGGCTTAATCTTGTTATAAGAATTCTAAGGTCTCAAATCTACAATAAATATACAATAAATGCACACGTATCTAAATGTGTCTGAAATAGTACAGGAGAGCAATCCTGGAGCCATTTTGACTCTCCCAGTGACCTCAAATATTCCTCTGCATTTAGGGAGGTAAATGGGGAAAGCCTTCCCATTGTCTTTTCGCTTACAAATCCTGTTTTAAGGGCGTAAAGGTAAAGGACCCCTGGACAGTTAAGTCCAGTCAAAGGCGACTGTGGGATTGCAGCACTCATCTCGCTTTCAGGCTGAGGGAGCCAGCGATTGTCCACAGACAGGTTTCTGAGTCATGTGGCCAGCATGACTAAACTGCTTCTGGTGCAATGGAACACCGTGTCGGAAACCAGAGCGCATGGAAATGTTGTTTACCTTCCCGCCAGGGTGGTACCTATTTATCTACTTGCACTGGTGTGCTTTCAAACTGCTAGGTTGACAGGAGGGTGTATTTGTGTATGAACAGGGTGAGCCTGTGACCTGATTCAGGAACTAAAGTATTCACCATCACAAAAGAATGGCCAGACTGCCCAGGTAATGCAATCAGCGACCATTATCAGGTATCCTGGCAGACAGGATTTCTGCTATAGACTGCCTCCTATGATGTATGTATGATGATTTTGGGGTGGTCTTTGGTTAAAAGGGGTTGGTCAATGTCAAAAGTCTTTAAGCTTCCTGCACACTTTTGTTCAGGGTCTCTCTCCCTGCTTGGAAGGAGAGGAGAGAACTGTGTTGCAAAAGAAAAAATAAATATCTGCCTTGCTTTCCACTGGATCCTGCCTCCATCCATTATTCTCTGACCGATCATGGACTTAGGAGACTCAGGGTCGCATGAGGAGTTGGGCAGCAAAAGGCAAACCTCAATTTTTACATCAATCTAAACCAGTCTGAGCTTAGAATCATTCCCAGGATGAAATAGGAAGTGTGACTCTAGGGATGTGCAGAGGGCTTTTCCCTCCCCACCAGGGGCAGATCTACTATGAAACTAATGAATCTTAAGCCTTAGGTTCCTTAATCCCAGTGCCCCAGAAGCACCTTTAGTACACATTGCTTTTAAAAAATTGCATCTAGTAGACTCAGTTTCAGCTGCATTGAACTAAGTCAAATTGATTCTTTTTTGTTGTATATATATTTCAACAACCCCAAAGTTTGAGAGTCAGTAGCACAAATGCTGTAAAGGTGTGGTGGAAAAGGTAACAGACAGACAGACAAGAAGAATTGTATAAACATGAGGACTTATTTGTTTATGGATATACTATGGACAAATATAGAAAATGGAAAAAACAATATACAAAATGGAAGAAAATAATGCGATAAAATTATATGTGATATAAAAAACCAGAAGAAGGAAGGAGGGAAGTCAGCTCTGAAGAGCAAGTTTAAATGTAAAATGTAATACAATATGTGTATGTGGAGTATCTAATTGAAAAAACTAATAAAGATTATTTTAAAAAAAGAAAAAGGTAACCGTGTTTACCTAGATTTGTTGCTGGTTGCAAAGGAACTCCCACCCCCAATGACAATTCAAGCTTCAGGGACCCCATAATGCAGGTCTGCCCCTGCTCCCCACAGCCTCATCACATCTAGGAAGACAGGCAGAGAGAAGTCTAGGATCCTTTCATTCTGTTAAAAGATAGCTGGTGGAAGTTTCAAGGAGCAACTGCTGCAATCTATGCATCAGCAGATCCCATGGAAGCCAAGTCAGCTGAGCTGGCCACACCCTGCCCAATCTGGTTTGGAATTGAGCTGGGTCCAAGGTACCAGTTTGGATCACCTAATGGGCACAACAGGGCACCTTATCCTGAAGCAGATATATGGCATATGTTGGCCCCAGCCTTGCCAAATCTGACTGGCAGTCGCTGTCCCGGGTTAGGTAAAGCAAAGTCCCTTTTCCAAGCCCAGCCACCAGAGACCTTCTGGATGCTGCTGAGTGGGGTGCAACTTGGGACCCCCGGCATGCACAGCAGGTGGGAGCTCTGCCACTGAGCGCTGATGCCCACCCTCCTGGTAGCAGAGTTGGGTGTGGGATTGAACTCAGGAACACAGGAAGCTAGCTGTCTTATCCCAAGTCAGACGCCTGTCCATCTGCCTCAGTATCTTTGTGGATTCTCATTCCTTGGAGGTTTCTAAGATGGGTGGCCATCTGTCATGGCTGCTTTAGTTGAGATTCCTGCATTGCAGGGGGTTGGACTAGATGACCCTAGGGTCCCTTCCAACCTTACGATTCTTTCACTCTTTTTTTGCACTTAATTTATTTATTATTAATGTTGCAATACATATATGAAATCTTTACATGATGATACATATACATTATAGTCGTAAATTCACATTTTCACATTTCATTATGTACCAACATTCATCCATTTCTTATTTCTTGCCCTGTGTCTTCCCTCCACCCATGTGTGACTTCCTTGTTATTATTTTGTAACTTTATTATTGAGATTGTAATTTTGTATCTTAATAGTTAAATATTCAATCTTATATATCTGCTTAGCTTGACTTGACTTGACTTTGTGAAAACACTCTATACATATCAATAAGTTCTTGTTGGAGCATCTTTTGGCCATGTATTCTTCTACACATTTCCATTCCTGTTTGAGATTTTGATTAGATTGCATTCTAATTGTTGCCGTCATTTTTGCTAATTCAATCATTTAAAAAAAAGTATATTGCCAATCTTTCAATGTTGGTACTTCTGATTTCCAATTTTTTGCAGTCAATAACCTTGCGGCAGCTATTGCATTTAAAAAGATTCTCTTCATGTCCTTGGGGGTGTCATTTGTTATAATTCCTAAAAGGAATGTTTCCGGCTTCTTACCAATTGTTGTTTTAAACATTTTTTTCATTTCCTCATGTATATTCCCCCCCCCAAAAAAATTAATTTTATCACATCCCCACCAGACATGATAGAAGGATCCATCTGATACCTTACATCTGCAACACAAACCAACCTTACAATTCTATGATCTGCACGGCTTGGCAGCAAGAAGTTCTCTAGTGTCTTGTCAGGTGGGGTCTCTCCCAAACCTACAGTCACTGGAAAGCGGGGACCGAACCTGCAACCTTCAGCATGCAAAGCTGATACAAAACTGCATCAGAACCGATGTTCTACCCCTGGGCTACAGCAGGCCTTCCTTCTCAACACCCTGTTCTGCACAGCCGAATGACGACTCTGGCACTAGTCTAGCACAGGCCTCGCCTCAGGCCCGGACTACTGGGGATGGTGCCTTCTGGGCCTTCAATGGCCAATGGTGATCTGACCTGCCTTTCCTTCCCATCACAGGTCCAGCCAAGCGACAGAATGAGAAGGCCCCTTCCACTGCTCTTTGTCCTTCTGGCGCTGCTTGCTGCGTTTGCACGTAAGAAACCCCCACCCCAGTGCCAGAACAGTATTGCTCTCACACATGCCTGCCTGTGTGGAAGAGGGTGCAAGTGGCACAACTGAAATCCAGCCTTCTACTTGGTTCCTGGTGGGAAGAGGAAAGGGGATCCCTCCCCTTAGGGCCACCAACTGAATGCCCTGCAACAATTCTCCCATGAAACTAGAGCTATCCTACCATCCCATTCAACATTTCTCCGATGAAGATAGGGGACGTCCTAAGGAAAAGCAGAGCATTCCGGGATCAAATGAGAAACCAGGACAGCTTCTGTAAATCCAGAAAATGGGGCGTGGAGGCCCTGTGGGTTAAACCACAGAGCCTAGGACTTGCCAATCAGAAGGTCGGTGGTTCGAATTCCTGTGATGGGGCTACATGACCCGGAAGCTGTCTGCGGACAAATGCCGGCTCCCTCAGCCAATAAAGTGAGATGAGCGCCGCAACCCCAGAGTCGGCCACGACTGGACCTAATGGTCAGGGGTCCCTTTACCTTTACCCTGGAAAACAGGGACACTTGGAGGGTCTGGGTGTCACGGGCTCTCTAGCTTACATGAGCATCACTCCTTGGCTGAAGCTAGGGGCAAAGGTACACCTGGTGGAGATAGGAAGCACCTGGAAGAACAGATCATTCACACAACCCATGTGGTCCCCCACCCCTATTTCTTTGGCATGGGGAATCAACCAACAAGGCAGCTGAGATTCTGTCCCCCTCTCCCCCCAAAAAGAGGGGGAAGTGTATGTGTAGGGAGGGGAGCGGGAAAGTGCATGTTTGCTCCATATCCCCCCCTTTTTTTTTGTCTTGCAGAAGCTCAAGATGCCCCAAAGGAGAGCCTGGTGGCCAAAGTGCAAGTCTTTGCCCAGCAAGCCATCCAAAAGACCCAGGAGCGCTTCACCACCCTCCGAGAGTCGGAGGCAGCCCAGCAGGCCAGGTGGGGGAGGCCTTCCAAGCTCAAGGAAGGGGGAAAGTTGGGACAGAGCAGAAGGGAGGGGGGGACCGGGGCTGGGGGGTGGATGCATGCCATAGGAGCCAACTCCAGGGGGCCATGGGTGCTTAGGCACCCACAACAATATAATGAGCAGAGCCACAAAGTCAATGAGCAAAATCGGTGACAGCCAACCAGCCAGCCAAGAGAGAAGCAGTTCAGCCAGCCAGTGAGTCACCTGTTTCCGAGGTTGGGGCTCGAATTCGGAGGCACAGCTGCTGGCCACTACAGCGTTGACATGCAATGTCACATGCACACAACTGCACATAGTGTGTGTGACATCACACACACAATGCACAATGTTGCATTGTGGTTTCGGAGGAGCCCCCTTCCAAAAATCCAACGCGTGACGTCACACACACTACATGCAGGCATGTGACATTGCACATCTGTGTTATGGCGGTGGGCACCCACGATCCTGTGGGTGAGATGGCACCCTTGATGCATGCCGTGTGGGGCTGCACATACCAGCAAACAGGATTATCTCCTGAACCTGCCCCCTTCCAAAACCACCTCCATCCCCTCCGTGGCATAAGCAAAGCCTTGAGTGCCCCTTATTCGATTCCACCCACTGTCTCCCCTGGGGCAGCAGCCTCTTGCTGAGACCCCAAAGGTGCTATTGGCGCCTGTCACAACATGTGGGGCAGAGGTGGCTACTTCTGGGCCGGCAGACGTGGAAGGTTCTTGCAACACAACTCTGGCAATAGCCAGGCTTGCAAGGGGCTTAGAAAACCCTACTTTCCCAAAGGGGTCGGGGTGGGGGAATTTCTGAAACCAAGAAAAGCTCTCACTTGCCACACTGCACTAAGTGACCCTTCAGGGAGGGATCCACAGCAATTAAATGCACCTTTTCCTTCAATCCACCCCTACTGCCTTTTAGGGAATGGATCACTAACGGCTGGGCAAATGCAGTTCAATACTTTGGCCGTGTAAAGGAGAAGATTGCCACATTTTTGAAGACGCCGGCACCTGCAGCATGATGGAATTTTGATTCCACACAATTCCAGGAGGATCTCTCGCCCTTCCCAGTACAGCGGCAGGGTGCTAAAGTTGTCCTCAGGGATGGGCAAGGATTTCAACATTTGCCACTGTTTCTCCTTTTCCCTGCCCTGCCTAGTCACTCCTTCATTCCCTCCTTCCCTCAGACATCTCAATGTTCATTAAGCGTGGCGCTTTCCCCCATTAAATCTTGCAAACTCTTTGCATGGTTGAGTTTCTTGCTGTGAACCAACAAAGAAAACTGGTCAGAGGTCTTGATGGAGCAAGAGGGACACTTTCAAAAAGACTTTTTGGGAGGCTTTCAGTGGTTTCCCACCAGAACCACCCAAGAGCAAAACAATCACATTTCCAGATGTGGGTGGGATCCCCTTCCTTGAGCAACTATGTAAGTGGGCAGGGGGAGGCATCTTGGGTAAAGACCCTTTCCAGTTAAAACTCACTCTCCAGAATCAAGACTTCGCCCTATCAGGGCACCTGCTTAATCCCTTCCCACCTGCTGCCAGTTGGGATGAATTTGGCCTGAATCTGAGGAAGGGGGCAGGAGAGAACCTTGATGTGTTCGTGGTGACCTAGATTTGGTGGGTTTGGTGGTGGCAGGCAAGCAAGCAAGAAGAGGCATCTTCACCTAGCCAGGGGGTCTCCTGCAGCTCCTCCTGGCTCCATCTGCCAGCACAACCCACAGGAGAGTTGAGGAAAAGTTCTGCCCTGTGCTACCTAAGGACAAAGATCAGTTGGCATAGCAGCCACTGCCACCAGGAGGACAAATGGCCAAGGCAATAATTGGCTAGGCACTTGTTCACTTTCAGGTTTAGCTGCCCTGTTTTGTTTTTTAAACAAACTGCTGAGTTGAGTGTACATTTTTGTGGTGGGCTCTACACACACACACACACACACACACACAGAGAGAGAGAGAGAGAGAGAGAGAGAGAGAGAGAGAGAGAGAAGTAAGGCTGATCTCTTTGCCCTCAAACGGAAGGGATTTCTTCCCTGGCTCTGCCCCACTCCCAAGCTCCCTCTAGTTCTTCCCAGTCCCAATATATTTTTGATTCCAAGAGCTGGGAATAAACAGCAGCAACTCTGAAGACCCACAAATCTGTCTCACACAGTGGCGGCAGCCCTTCTTCCACTTGGCCTTGCCAAGAGATTGCAGGGGCACTGGGCAGCTGTGCTGTTGCATGGGGGCATTGCTGCATCCCTAGCAAGTTCATCCAGGGGTCTATATGGCCTGAAACTCTTTGAGGCAGCTGTCCTTGCCTGCAGACAACCCCCTCTTCCTTTTAATCCCAAAACTTCTGGCACCTGAAGCAGCCTGCTCTCCCTCCAAGTCTCTCCCTTCAGAACCCACCCTCCCATAGTCCAGACCTCCCTCCCCCACTAAGGCATTGGGCATGGTGGGGAGACACCCACAGAACTAGCCAGGAGGAAACGAGACCTTTGGACTGGCAAACCTGCAAAAGGAATCCCCACCCTCACCCCAAATGCCAATGCTTCAATTCCTACCCACCTCTCACTGCCCTCCCCCTTCTGACCCCCCCAGTCATGCCCCCCAGCTCCCAGCCCCCTTCATGGCAGCAGACACCCACCACACAATAGCCATATCTCTGAAAGTTGCTTTTTATTTGGCAAAAGAGAAGGAGAGAGGCACTGGACTGAGCAGGTGGGGATGGCAGCGGGGAGAAGAGGGGGAGAGAAGCTAGGTTTTCTTCCACTCCAGCCTGAGGTCTTCCAGCTGGGGTCTTAAGGGCGTGGGGAGGAGTTGCAACCCCTCCTTTCCCTGCTCACACCCCATTAACCCACCCAGGGCTGTGGTGTCAAAATGTGGGGTGGGAAAGGTCAGCGATAAATACCGAAGTGGGGAGGCAGTGCTTATTCAGAGGAACCCTGATCAGAGGGAAGAGGGAGGCCCAAAGGTCCAGGCAGGATCCTGGAAGGAGAGGGGCTGCCATGCTTCTCTCTAGGCGGCCTGCTGTTGCTGCCCCTTCTTCACCTCGTCCTCCATGGCCTTTTGCACATTGGCGATGAGGCCCTCCACGTAGGTCTTGAAGCCTTCCACGCTAGTGGGCAGTTGCTCACGCACCTTCTCCACCATGGGTCCGATCTTCTCCCGCAGGGCAGTGAAGTGCTTCTGGGCCTCGGCCTGAAACTCTCTCAACCTGGGGGCGCCCTGCTCCCGGAGCTCCTGCAGCTTCTGGCTCAGCCTCTGGCGCATCTCTTCGGCGTGGGGGGCCACCTTCGCACGCAGCTCGTCCACATGGTCCCGCAGCTTGTCCCGCGCTTCCTCGGCCACTGGCCTCACCTTCTCCTGAATTGTCTCCAGGTTCTGGCGCATAATCTGCTTCACCTCCTGCTCAATGGGCTCTGCCTTGGCCCGGAGAGCCTCTATTTCCTGGTGGAGCTTCTTGCTGAATTCATCAAAGTAGGGCTGGATATTGGCATTCACGCCCTCCAAATGCTTCTTCAGCTCCTCGATCCCCTTGTCCCAGTGCACTTTCAGCTCTTGCTTTAGTTCTTCCATCTCGGGGGCTATTTCTTTGTGCAACTCAGCTAATATCTGGTGCGCCTTGTCCAATTTCGGAACCAGGCTTAGGCTACAGAGAGAGGATGGGGAGACCAAGTTAGTGGGTGAAGAGAGGGCAGAGTTGGTGCCTAGACCTCTTGCTCCAGCCCAGAAGAAGAAGGAAGCACCTCTTCTCCAGAAGCACCAGCCAGTTTCAACCTGTTCTGCTAAGGAAGGTCAGGGTCTCTGCTACCCCTTTATACAATGTGGAGCAGAAGCGAGGAAGCCACCCTCTGCTCTGGCCATCGGTGTTGGGGAGGCCACTTTGTCTTTTGCTCTTTCCAACATGTTGGAATGCCTTTGAGTGCCAGAGCTGGGTCTTGCCTTTGGAGTGGGGATGCTCTCTTGGGAGAAGCTCATCACAGCAAAAGAGGAGCCTCTCCGCTGTCTGAACTCAACACAGAGACCTGACAAAACTGCCTCCTCGCCCAAGAGCAGCAGCAGCAGCAGCCAACATGAGCCAAGGCTGCGTTGATAAAAATATGGCATCTACTCAGCCTTTATAAAAGGATTCCTCCCCCCACCCTGTCACATACACACCTCAGTTGTCTAATTTCATTTTTAAAAAATCTGTTTATAGGGTTCATACAAGGCATGTCTATTTAGCAGTTGCCTAAAAAAGTACATTTGAGGCTCCTCTTTTCGGCTATGAATTTGTGATGCTGTTCAGTAGCCCAGCCGGGGTGGGGTGGGGTGAGGCGGGTCATGTAATCCAGCCCCTCTAGATTTTGTGGGGCTGTCCCTCCCAGGGAAGGCCCCTGAGACCAGAATGGATGTGAGCCCCCCCAATATCTGGCTTTTAACTGGGGGGGGGTGGTTGATGCTGCACCACAGTTCCATGAGGGTGAACGGAGATCTGGGGGACTTGGGTTTGGAAAGGCCTCCACAGGTATCCACAAAGCCAGCCAGCCACTCCTCCCTGCCCCCCTCCCTCACTGCACAGATGGAAAGCCATCCTGAGGCAGAAGCATCATATCCTGAGGAGATAAAGGGGAAGGAGCTTTGGCCACCCCAAAAGCCTACAGCCTGCCAGTCTATTCCCTGCTTGCCCCTAATTTGCTACTCACTCTACTTCCTTGCCCCATTCAGAGTTATCCAGCTGAGTGATGGCTTCACGGAGACCAGTCCTGATGGTTTCTACGTAAACAGTGAGAGCATCGTGCACACGCTCCAAGGGGGTTTGTTGGGGTTCATCTTGCTGCCAGAAGTGGCGGGCCTGGGTTCCTGCAGAAGCAATGCAATAATGGTTAGAGCCTAAGGGCAGAGTGTTTAGAAAGGGGCAGTCAGAAGCGAGCCAGGTCTCCCCAAGTTCGACCCTGCGAAGGCAGAGTCCACTCCTCTACGGCTACTCCTCCCTCCACCCGCAAGCAGAAATTAGCGGAGATTGGAGCATGTCCTTCAGAGCTCATCCGCCCAAGGTTCTTGGGCAGGAGTTGGGCTGCCTCAGGGAGAGCTGCCATTCCCTGCCCGTGAGCACAGGGTCACTCACCTGTGAGGAACACCAGGGCCAGAGTCACTGTGATGGCTCTCATCTTGCAATGTGTTCCAACCTGGAGACTGCAGAAGGGGATCACGTCAGGCCAGAAGAATCCACAAAGATGTAGAAAAACAACAACAAAAGGAATTCTTGAGCTTTTCTCTTCCAAGACCAAGAAAGGGAGAAATTGGAAGTGAGGAGAAAAAGAGGTCTGCTAAAGATGAGCTATTAGTCAGAAGAGCCAATGGGAAGACCAGATCCAGTGGATCTTGCCAGTTAGCAAGCAACACAGGAGGACTAGTTACCATAATGTCTTGCTTGTGGGATTCCCTGGAGGCACCTGGCTGGCCATTTTGAGAAGCAGCCGGATTCGAGGTGAGGTGGGCTCCCCTTGGCATGACCCCACAGGGCAGCTCTTTCGGCCCTTAAGCAAGAATTGCTGCGCGCAAGATCTGCTACGTCCACCTAGCCCAGCAGCAGCAAGATGCCCAGAGATGCTTCCCAAGCTGGGGCACCTGCTCATTGGAAGAGTCCAATGAGCTTCCCTTCCAAAGGTATACATCCCGAGGTATCCATTGATATATCCAAGAGGAAGCCCCAGGCAGAACAACCAAGTCAGCCTTTGCCAACCTGGTGGTGCCCTCCTGATGTGCTCAGGCTGCTGTGCTAGCTGGTGCTGAAGGGATCTGTGGTCCAAAACATCGGGTGGGCACCGGGGAGTTGGCAAAGGCTGATCAAGAAAGAAATGGAAAGGCAACTTCTCTGCAGGGGAAGCAAAGTCTTTTCACAGAACTTTGAGAGAGGGAGAGAGAAAAGAGAGAAAGAGAGAAAGAGAGAGAGAAGCAAGCCACAGTACCAGGAGAGGCCCAGATTCTTACCAGTCCTTTCAGCGTCTGCTGCTTCGTGTGACCGATCCTTCTCGGCGGTGGCTATTTATACCAGAGGTGGTTGTTTATTGCCGAAGATAAGTCAAAGCTGTAAATGGGGAATTCACTCCCAAGTCGTGACTATGTGGCGCTTAGAGTTCAAGGATCAAACACACATCCCCAGGGGGAACGCGCACGATCAAGGAGCAACAGGGGCCTGGCAAGGGACTCCGGAACAAACACAGAAGCTGGGCCTGGGGCCAGCTCTCTGACCCAGATTTGCACTTGTGGGCAGAACAGGA